CGCTTGCCGGCCAAAAAAAAAAAAAAAAAAAAAAACACTTCACTGTCTAGGCCTATACATGTAAATTAAAGTTCGATACATCTATATTTAATACCTTCTTTAATATGGGTACTTAGTTTGTCTTCTCAGAAGTTTTAGCTATTTAGCCCAAAAGTGCTTCTAATTTCTAAAGGTTTATTATTAGGGTACTAGTAAATCCCAACACTCAGCAACAGAATGTGGGAATAGGTTTGGGGATATAGCTCAGCAGCACAAGTGCCTGTCTGGCAAGCGCAAGGTCCTGAGTTCAATTCCCAGTGCCAAAAATAAAACCAGAATGGGGTGCATATTGGGGTGGGGTGCAGTACTTCACACTGAGCTACATCCCCAGCTCTCTTCTTGCCTTTCATTTTGTGACTAGATCTCCCTAAGTCACTAAATTGTCCAACTTTGGCTTGCACTTCAGTTCTCCTGTTTCAGCCTCCCAAAAGAAAAGTCATGAGATGATTATATTACCAACATACTTAGAGACATTTTAACCATGATGTCCACCAGCTAATAGTTTGAGTCAGTTTCAGGCTGGGGAGGCGACTTAGTGGTAGAGCACTTGCGTGTGTTCCAGCACCATCCCCTCCCAAAAACTTTTTTTAAAAATTGGCACTTATTCGATTTTTTACTTGGCTTATTAAATTCTAACAGTGCAATGTTACTAAGTCAAAAATATGCTTTTATTTCAAATAGTTTAGCTGAAGCAACTGATGAGTACCCTACATTTATAAGTATGCTAACTCTTCTAATTTGCATTTTTACTTATTCAAAGGAATTGTTGTGAGCCTCATAATCTCTGCTTCTGTCTGTAATGCCCCATCAATTCGCAAGACACACCACTCCTCCTTGATTACACACCCTTTTCTGAAGAAAGTCTTCTATTTAGAACAAGTTCTACCCTGCTCAGGTATTATCCACACATCCCTCTTTCATCTGGCTAATTATTACCTATTCTCTGGGTCTCAGCTGGACATCATTTCCTGAGTGAAGCCTCTGTCAATCCCAGTGCATCTACCTTCCCTCAGTAAAGATAAATGCTCATGGAACTTATTCCCATGGCACCTGATAGTACTTCTTTAAGTCAGTCTACACACTTGTAATTATTTAACTACTACTTTTCTTCATCAGCTCTAAGGTCCATGAGAACAAGGAACTAAGTTTTATTCACCAATATAATTGTAAGTATTTAATCAACAGCATTTTAGTTAACTATAAATCCTGACACAATTTCTTCCTATTAAAAAAAAAAAAAAACATTATAGAGACTAAGGAGATAACTTGGAGGTCTAAACACCTGCCTGGCAAGGACAAGGACCTGAGTTCAATCCCCAGTACCACATGCCATGCCAGCCACAGAACCCTAGGGCCCCTGTGCTGGCCACCAAAAACAGGCATGGTGGTGCACACCCATAATCCCAGCACAGGGGAGGCTGAGACAGGAGGATCACCACAAGTCAGAGCTACTGCAGAGTGAGATCCTGTACTAAATATATTAAAAAAAAATTTCACTTCCCAAAACAGAGTTTTTAACACTTACATGTTACAAAGTTCAGATGTAAAGATCAAGTTGGTTCCCAAAAAATACAAGAATTATAAGAATTATGACTGGGGCATGCCTGAAAATTATCCTCCAGGAAATTTACTGAGCTCGAGCTTGGAAAAACTGTCCCAAGAGACCAAACTAAAAGAGGGACAGAAAGCTACATTAGAAGGCAATTCACCCACTCATACATGTCCAGCCATTTATGTGACCAGTACTCACTGACAGAGGTGTAGGACTCCTCTAAAAATAAATAAAAGTCAACCTGCTTTTGAAGGAGCAGAAAGGATGAGCTAGCATACAGAAACAGGTGACAAAAATATGCAAACAATTCCAATTCAGCAGAGGACTTTTTCACAACAGTAAAAACTTTGTATAATACATTGTTGTAAATTACAAATAAAACTATGCTATGGGTGATCAATAACAAAAGATACAATATTACCTAATGATCCCAAATCTGTCCATAATGAAAAAGCCATGCTTGAACACCACCTTGAAAGGTGGTTGGCCTTAGCAAGGCTTCCAACCATGAACAGAGCCTTTAACAAAGCAATCCAATTTCTCCAGCGTGTCACTAATGTAACTCAAACAAAAAGATGATTCTAGCTATACTGAAAAGGATCAAATACCAAGAGACTATTACTACTAACTAAAAATTTGTGCACATTTATCACATACCAGCACAGTGGTAGATGCGCTCTCTCTCCTGTCTCTCTATATATACATATATCATCTCATGTACACCTTATCAATTCTGAAATACAGAAAGACTTCCTCACTTACAGACAAGAAAAAAGTTTCAGAGTCGAAACAGCCTCCCCAATAATATACATTTGCTTAGTAGGAAAGCTGAAATTTTATCTAACACTGAAGTTTTTTTTCTTACAGCATTGCTGGGGAAGCACAGTGTTTAAAATTACAAAAGTGATTTCAAAATTGCTTTTTATTAAAGTTACAAAACAAGTATGGATTCTGTTTTCTGTAACTCTATGTTATAAAGCAGAAAATCACAGTCTCTCACACAGCACACATATTAACAAAAATCAAGCAGCATGAGGATGAGAAGGCTAGAGTAACTCCATCACTCACAAATCCTACCAACTGACATGCCTCTCCTTGGAAAAGTTAACTCCGATCCTTTTGCAGCCAGCAAGTCATCTGTGAGATATTTTGATACTGTGAATATTCAGCTCCTCATAAATCTTTAGTGATTTTAGCATCCATTAAAAGCCTGGGGGCTAGGGAGATGGCTCAGTGGAATAAGTGCTTCCCTGGCAAGCATAAGGGCCTGAGTTCAATGCCCGGTTCAAAAAAAAAAAAAAAAAAAAAAAAAGCCTGGTTTGAATCAGTTAATTCACCACTTGATTTTTCTGGTTGTATCATTTCTTACTATATTCTACTTACCTCCACTTAGCAGCTTCATGACCAGCCATAGCTCATCTTTTACCACAAAAGATGTGTAGTAAGATACAATATTAGGATGATGACATTGACTCATGGCTTGAATTTCTTTCTACAAAGAAGAGAAAACATGACAATTCATTATATGCAAACTCAAAACAAACACTGCAAGCCAGCGAATCCACATCTGGGATTCTACGCTGTGTTACAACCTGCCTAAGATATCTATGGCCTGATCTGTTCAAGAATGATTACACCATCGGGGAGAGAGCTCAGTGGAATAAGTGCTTGTCTGGCAAGTACAAGATCCGGAGTTTGATTCCCGGTACCACCAAAAAAAAAGAATGATTACACCAAAACAACCTCTTATTTCCTTCACCTCATTGTGAGCAGTCCTTCCACTCGTTATCCTGTGATCTCTGAAACCTGGCACAAACACTGCTTAGCCCACCTGGCACAGCTTCACAGAGGCCTTCATTGGGCCATATACTTTTACTTTAAGGTGTCACTGTTTATTTTTTTTTAATGTATTTTATTCTACTTTAAAGAGTAAAAAGAAAAAAGCAAAAACTAAGAAACAGAGCAGCATACAATACATATGGTACAGAATTTCAAAAAAAGATTAACAATGGTTGTTACATTACATATTTTTATCGTTCAAGTCTGTTGATCAAATTAACAGATATAGGGTTTTTTGGTGCATGTGTATTTGGTTTTTGGTTTTCTTTTCCTGCTTTGGGAAAGAGGATCTCATTATATAGTTTAGGTTGCATCTCACTATGTAGCCCAAGCTGGCGGGTCTCAAACTTAACTCAATGCTCCTGCCTCAGCCTCCCAAATGCTGGGATTACAGGCATGCACTACCACACTCAGATTTTTTTATTCTCTCTCTCTCCTTTTTTTTTTTCTGTTTGTTTGTTTTAAATTAATGGTTTTGGTTTTCTTTTTTGAGAAAGGATCTTGTTATGTAGTTCAGGCTGGCCTTGAACTGACGGTGATCCTCCTGCCTCAACCTACCGAGAGCAGGGATTACAGGCATGGGCCACCACTCCCAGCAGAAAATCTGATTTTATAGCCACAGAGAATAATTATGAATAACTAGAAAGTAGGTTTACTTGCTTATCTGGGTTTTTAAAAAGTATTATTTCACCTCATCATTGGGAAATGATTTAACAATTCTCACACTAAAGAGAAACATACTGGGCCAAGTGCAATAGCACATGCCCATCATCCCTGCATTTGGGAGGCTGAGGTGGGAGGATCGCCACAGCCCATCCTCAGAAACACAGTGAGAACCATCTCAGAGAGTAGGGAAAGAGGTAATAAAACATGACAAGGTCATAAACTAATCCAGAGTAGAAAACTAAGCCAAAGGTCTAAGTCTACCATTTACCAGTCTATGAATTTAAATTAGATATGGAAAAATATAATACCTTCTAAGTTCCTAAGTAGTCTTATTTACCTCTCTGGTACCATTCTTAACCCATTCTTGTTTTCTATTCATTCATTCATTCATTCATGTTTGGTACAGGGTCTCACTACACAGCTCAGACTCATAGTGATCCTCCTGTCTCATTCTCCCCAGCTCTGGGATTACAAGCATACACCACCATGCCTGGTTTCAGTGGCCAGCATGGGACACCTGAAATTCCAGGGCAGGCAAGGCATGCAGTACCAGGGATCAAACCCGGGTACTTGTGCTTGCCAGACAGTCACTTAGACTACCGAGCTCACTCCCCAGCCCTCCTAACCCATTCTGACTCCACCTCTATGACCCAGCCACATTTCAGTCTATGGTTACCTCTGCCTTAAGCACACCTCCCCATCATGTTTACCTAACTAAATCTAATTATTCCTTTTAATCTCAGACTAAGTTCCTCCCAGGACATCAGCCTGAGTTGTGCTCTTTCTCGTAGGTTCTAAGCACTCTAACAGCATATAATATACTGGGTAGTATGTTGTATGCTCATTTGTCTCTCCCTCCTATGCTGAGAGCTACATGAAGGCAAGTACCTAAAAGCAGATTCCCACAGTTTATCATACTGTATTGTAATTGCCTATTTCATGAGAACTAAGGCTATTCTTGGCACTTAAAAGTTTATTTAAGGCTATTCTTGGCACTTACAATTTACTAATATTTGTTGGATGAATGAAATCGTACAGCACTCTGCACAGCACATTACCTATTCAGCAGCTGTCCCATGCCCTTGGTATTTGTTCAGTAAGATCACTGTGAAAGTTGTCTATTAGCCTGATCCACAGAAGTGCTCAACAAAAGCTAGTTTTCCTTTTATCTTTTCTGCTTTAATGAAAACTCCTTTAATGGCAAGAACCTTGCCATACACATTTTGCAGCCCTCAAAATCATCAACATAGTCTTCCTCATCAAAAACTAGGTAATTATGAAAAATTAATAGAAAGTAGAAAAACTAAAGCAGTATTTATCTACTGACATAGCTACACAGGATTTAAAGAGATAAGATAAATACATATAAGAGGAAACAGGAGCATATGAGTAGTAAATGTTACAAGATATTAAATGTTACAAGAACCCAAAGAAAATAGTTAAGAAGGCAAGAGTAATTAAAGCAGCTTTCATAGAAGAGATGGGAACTATATTTAGGTCTATAAGATGTGGGGAAATTACAGTAGTAAACTGAAAGGCATAATGATTTTTTTTTTTTTTTTTTTTTTTTTTGGTGGCTGGCTCAGCCTGCACTGGAGGCAGGGCGGGTACAGCATGTGGTACTGGGGATTGAAACCTCGGTCCCTGTGCTTGCCTAAGCAGGTGCTTTAGACCACTGAGCTATCTCGTCCACCCAGCATAATATATTTAAGACAAAATCAGTAAACCTGTTTAAGGTGGGTAGTTCCTACGTTCTATAGATATCAAGTGCCTACCATACCAATGTATGTGACAGACCCAATTAATTAACCACAATGGTGAACCTTCACAAAACTTACAATTTGGTAAAGTTAGACAAATACTATCACAACACAGAATAATGAAATTTGATCTTTACTGTTAGATACTGTTAAGAGTTCACTAGAGAAACACATTACAAAAACTAGAAGGCATACTCAGAAGGCTTCAAAGTTTTACTCTACTGACACTGACAGATAAAAGTTAAGTGGGTTCTTAAGGTTTCTGAATGTTTACCTGAAATCAAATCATAAAGGACCATGTAAATATGTTAAAGAATTTAGACTTTAACAGGTACCAACTCCCCACAATGAACGTTGTCATTACTTATTGAAAACATATACTAAAAAATTTTAAAGAAAAATAATTTAGACTTTATACTAACAATACTAGGTAATATACAATACTAGGAAATGATAATAATGTATATTTCTTAATATAGATCACCATCAAAAAAGTTTAAAACAAAAAAGGGGCCAGGGAGTTGGCTCAGTAGAATAAGCACTTTCCTGGCAAGCGCAAGGGTCTGAGTTCAATCCCCGGTTCTGCCAAAAAAAAAAAAAAAAGTTTTAAAATTGTTGCTCAGGACTACAGCAAAACACACTACTAGATTCTGATTCTGTTCTTTCTACTGTGCAATTCACTCTGCAAGCTGTTACAGAACCCACTACTACACCTATAAGCACAAAGATGAATGCAAAGCACAGTGGTAAACTGCTAGGTCCAACCACTCAGAAGTCCTGAGACAGGAGGACTGCAGGAATCTGGGGTCAGCCTAGGACATGGTGAGTCCCTGTCCACAAATAAAAAAGATGAACAGCAAGTGTTGACAAGAATATAGAGAAATTGACTATACCTATAGAATTGTAAGAGATACAGTCACTTTGGGAAACAGCTTAGCAGTTTATAAAAAAAGTCAAACATAGTGTTACCTTGTGATTCAAAAATTCCACACTTAGGTATACACTCACGATGAATGAAAACATACCCGTACAGGAACACTTGCACAGAGATGTTCATCACAGTATTATTGTATTATTCATTAAAGCCAAAAAGGAGAAATATCCCAAAATCAAACAACTGATGCATGAGTAAGTAATGTGTAGTATACGCATCAAAAATAACATATCTGCTAACATTGGGACAAACTCTAGAAACACGCTAAATGAAAGAAATCAGACACAAAAGGCTAGACATTATATGATTCCATTTATGTGAAATGCACAGAATAGGCAATCTGTTCAGAAAGACATACTAACAGCTATCTATGATTGAAAAAGAATGGAGAATAACTACAAATGGGCATGAAGATTCTTTTTGTAGTGATGTGCAAATGTTTCATTCCGGGAAAAAAAAAAATTCCCAGAATGATACAGAGACAATAGTTGTATAACTTTGTGAAATATACTTAATACCATAGCAGTATACATTTGGAAGTGGGGGGGGGGATTAGGCAGCAGGTATAATACTGTGGATTAAAAAGTAATAATAATACTGGAGATAGAACCCAGGGCCTTTGCACTGAGCCACATCCCCAGCCTTTTAATTTTTTTATTCAAGTCTCACTAAATCACTATGTTGCCCAAGCTGGGTTTCAACTTACAATCTTCCTGCATCAGCTTCCCAGAGTACTGGGAGTACTGGGATTACCAGTATGCTCCACCATACCAGGTGAAAAGGATGATTTTGATGGTATATGAATTTTGTATCAGTAAAGTTATTTGTAAAAACTGCTACAGAATTTTTTTCTGAGAGCCAAGGTCTTGCTATATACTTGAGGCTGGCTTTGAACTCTGTAACCCAAGGTCCCCCTGAATTCAGGGCAACCCTCCTGCCTCAGCCTCTTGAGTGCTGATTACAAGCAGGTACCACCATGGCTGGCAGAACTAAAATTTTTAAACTCAGTTTAAGGAAGTCACTTTGTTGTTTAAAAAAAATCCTTCAAGGACACTTCAGAGAGAAGCTCTAAGGGCAGTAATCACTGGCAATGCCTTAGGGGTGGTGATGACACCCAAGCCATATTAAGTTCACATCATGGCCACAATTTATACTGCCATTACCCCTCTTGAATAAAACCCTAATTCTTTCACCTGTTGTTGGGTGGTTTGTTTTTCTGGTTTGTAGGCCTCAGCTATTCTTCCATGACACTCCGTCCCCACCTGGAAGCTCCCCATATCTGCCTGTTTCAAAGTCTATCCAACCTTGTGGGCCAGGACACGAACTCTCCACAAAAAACCCTACCCCTTATTTTTCTTCTAAAGATCTTTTAACTAAAAGGCTCTTCCTCTTCCACCCCTCTCTCCCTCCCTCCCTCCCTCCCTTCCCCTTTCCTTCTCTCCCTTCTCTCTGTCTCCCTCTCCCTCTCCCCCCCTCTCTCCCTCTCTCCCTCTCTCTCTCTCACACACACACTCATAGCCAGGGCTTTTGGCTGGTGACTGAATTTGAGGACATTATAGCTGACTTGCTGTTAGGAGGTGGGGTCTGGTTAAAAGAGGCAGGTGTGATGGTTGACTGGTTGTGTCAACTTGAGAAAGCAAAGTTCAGCTAGATTGGTTCAGCAATTCCACACCTTAGGATGTGAAAGACCCATTCAAGGGTGGCTTGTCACCTGAATAGTATAAACGGGAAATGAAGAAGGACTGTTCTGCTTCTTTTCCTTCAGAGGAGTTCCAATCTTCTGCCTTGCCTTTGTCTTGGATGTCACTTTCCCACTTCCATCACAAAACCATCAGCCTCCTGATACAAACTCACAAAGGAAACTGCAGGGAGCTCCAAACCTTCAACTGGATCCGTCAGTAGCCAGTGTGCAGACATATCCTTTGTCCTTTGATGTTTCTACTTTCCCTCTGCCATGCCTCACTGCCATACTGTCCTATCTAGTAGCCAGCTGACCATGAATTGAAACTTTTACAAACTCTAAGACAAAAGAACCTTTACTAAATTGTGAGTGTTATCTCTCGTTATATAGGTCTTGTTTTATCTTGGTCTTAACCATCCAGCAGAAAATTATAAAAACGAGGTATATAAAGCAAAACCAAATAAATATGCTGCACTGTGAAAGGCTCAAGTCAACTACTTCTGTGGATAACCCGCTACTATTGTGGGCTGCTGGACTGTGTTGGATTGTTTTGCTGAATTCACACACCTATAGTGTTTAGATGACAATGGGATACCCATTTCTGACAAGACTAAATAAAAAAAGGCGATACAAAGGAAGGACCATTTTGTATCTGTATATGCAGAATAGTTAGGATAGATATACAGCTACTTTCGCTTAATTCAATGAGAAAACAGATTTGTAGTAATAATGTTTGAACAGGATAGTCTGTCTGCATCATGTACTATGGATAACCACTAAGAAGATAATAGTGTACACTGTATTAAAAAAGAGAGAGAAAGAGAATTGTAGCTTTCATTTTAGAAGTATTTCAGTTCCTAGGTTAAGATAAATTCTAGGTTTGGGATTTTTCTTGATCCTGTTATGCAGAGTAGTATTGTTTTGCTGATTTCTTTCTCAGTGCCCTCATTAAATATGTACAGAAATTTTAAAAAAAAAATTGTGAGTGTTGAGTACTCTGTCCCAACAATGAGGAAAGTAACTAAGAGCAAAAGTCCTAACTTCAGCTATAGAATGTGAGACTCTTAATGAAAGGAAAGACTCTTTTTTTTAAATGTACTTAGTACAGGGTCTACAGGGTCTCACTGCACGGATTGAACTCATAGTGATCTTCCTGTTTTCAGCCTTCCAAGCGCTGGGAGTACAGGTGCGCACCACGATGCCCAGTCTCAGTCACCTTCTCAGCACATCCCAGGGATAGGGCCAGCACGGCATGGGGATCGAACCTGGGTCCCCTGCGCTTTAGACGCTTTAGTCCACTGAGCTATCTGACCAGCCTTGAGCTATCTGGCTGGCCTAAAAGGAAAGACATTTAAAACCTCTTATTGGGGCCAGGGAGATGGCTCAGTGGAATAAGCACTTCCCTCGCAAGTACAAGGGTCTGAGTTCAATCCCTGGTTCCACAAAAAAAAAAAAAAAAAAACACCTCTTGCTTTCCTAAGATGTTTGTCCCATGAATCTCATCCTAGGATCTACCATATTAGAGAAAAATCTCAAAATACTACATACTACAGAATCTCCAGAGATTAAAAAAAAAAAATGATTTCATTGCTGATTTGCCCATCATACTTAACAAAGGTTGTCACATGTACAACTCTTGACAAGATAAAGGGCCGATATACTGCCTTTTCACTAATAATTATTATAAGTTCAGCTTACATCAGCACTCTTTGGGGAACTCACACCACCATTACTAGGTATAGCAAAAATAACTTTGGAAATAAATTTTAATATCCCAAAATTAGAATTTTAGTATACTGGTTTCAAAAATTTTAAAGCAAAAAAAAAAAAAAAAAAAAATTAAAGCTTTGTATCTCTGAAGAGTCCCCAC